GCGGGGTCAGGACGAATATTCAAACATAGTCAAGAAATAGTCTGGGCACGATGTTTCGACTATTTTGGATTATGCTTGAGGGTCTTAGAATAGGGGAACGAACAATGACATAAACACACACACACACAAACTCTGAGGTCCGCGCGGAGTTCTCGGATCGGCGCTGGGGCCCCCTGGCGGCGCCTCCAGCGCCGCCCCTGGCGCGCTCTGCGCGCCAGTGAGGGGGGTCCAGGCGCGGATCCAAGAAATCCGCGCGGACCTCCGAGTTGTTATGTTTTTGTTCGTTCCCCCAGAGGGGGAAACGGTTTCTTAGAAACACCCCTGCTTCTTAGACAGCGCGTGCCTTCAATAGACGTAGGGCCTGGGCCTTCTAAGAAGCGGGATGCTCCTAAGAAGCCTTCCCGCCTCCCCCTACCCCATGTTGCGCGCCGCCAAACATGTTCGGTAGCAAATCATGGGAGGCTGGTGTAACCTCCTAACGCCGTCTTTAGCGTCGGCTAGCGTCGATTAGCGTCTGGGAGTCGATGAGATAGCGCCGATGTAGTGTCGACTAGCGTCGACTTCGCGTCGATTCAGCGTCGATTTAACGTCGACTGGCGTCGACTAACGTCGATTCGCATGAGCCGACAAGATGGTATGGGAGGCTCCCATGAGTTGCCACCGAAGTATGCCTCTCTGGTCTTCTGATGTTCCAAAGTACCTTAGCCTTGAGCACCAAGGAAGTAACTCGACACTGGATAGTTTTCACGTGTTGGGCCCTGGGAGGCGAGACTCGTTCGGCACCACGCCAGCGTGTCGGGCAGACAGTTTCGATACTTTCCGGGGTGCTCGAAATCATTTGTGGGACGTGGTCCCTAATTATGATGGGGATAACGTAACGCTGGCCATGCCAGGAGATCGTATATCCCGCTCCTGGGCCCAGGATGGGCCTGCGCAGTGTACACATTGGCGATCTCAATCCTGTGATTAAGAGAGCTCGTTTTTCCATCGCTCTGGGTAGGCTTTCGGCGACCGCGTCGCTTTGGAGGCATCTTTGTCAGTCTTGAGGCCATCTTGGGCCCTTTGGACCATCCTGGCTCGTCTTCGAGGCATCTTGAGCCATCTTGGTTGCCTGCCTGGGCCGTCTTGGATGCTCGGGACGCTGAGATATTGTTATTATTACTTGCGAGGGATCGTGGCCTCGGGAGCGCGGCTTCGGGAGGGACGGGTTGCACGCGACGGTATGCTGGTAGAGGGGGGAGGGCCCCTTATCATAATACAGAAACGCTGCAGAGCAGCACCTGGCATTCTAACACGCCCACAATTTACAGGCGCTGTTGCGGATATTCCACCGCATAGCGAAGATGTTTACGGCGAATCACCGTCGCCCCCTGCCTTGTGTAATCGTCCATGCGGCCGAACGTTGTGACCAGAGCTCTGCCAAGCTATCGGACCATGGGTTGTCCCAGCTGCCGTTGGAAACCTGCAGGAAACAGGTGAGGAATACGAGAATGAGGAGAAACAGGAAAAGGGAGGAGGAGGAGGAGGAGGAGGAGGAGGAGGAGGAGGAGGAGGAGCAGGAGGAGGCGGACGAGGACGAGGAGGAGGAGGGGGGAGGGCGGGCACCGTGGGAGCCTCTGGGGGCACTCTTGGCGCCTCCGGGGAGCTCCCTGGGGGCCTCCTGGAGGCATCGTGGGGGCCTCCTTGGGCCTCTTGCGGGCCTTTGGGGGCTTCTTGGGGGCTTCTGTGGCCGCCGTAGGGCGTTCCTGGCCCGCCTGGCGCCGTCAGACGCCGTTTGGGGGCCCTCTATGATCCGACGTGGGGCTCTCTCGGGGTACTCCAGGGCCGTCTTGGGGGGCCGTCTTGGGCGTCTTGGGGGCCTCTGAGGCTGGGTTGGGCCCCTCTCTGGACCGTCTTGGGGGCCTCTTGGGTCGTCCTGGGGCCATCTTGGAGACCTCTTGGGCGCTTGGGGGGTGATCTTGGAGGCCTCGTGGGCCGTCTTGGTCCTTCGGAAGGCGGAAAAGAAGCGAATCCCGAATTCTGTCAAACTCCCAATGACAATTCATGATCTTAGCCTCTTCGAGCTTTCCTGGAGGACCTCTTGGAGGCATGCCGGGCCGACTTGGATGCCTCTTTGGGGCCTCTTGGGCCGTTTTGGAGCCAGCTTGGGCCCTCTTGGTGGCTTCTTGGGCGGACTTGGAAGGAAGCATTTTGGACCCTCTTGGCCCGTCTTGGAGACCATCCTGGGCGAACATGAAGACCATCTTGACCGTCTTGGAGGCCCTCTGGGGACCGTTTTGCGCGGGACGACCAACGGGCGATGCACATTCTGGGTTGCTGGCGGCATCGGCCGAAGCCCCAGGGGGAGTTCTAAACGAACCAACACCTCCTGGAATCTGGCACGCCAGGCACCCCTCGTGGCAAGCCAACAGCGGGCTGCGGATCGAAGACGCCTACGGCGAATCACCGACGCCCCCTGCCTTTGGGAATCGCCCATGCGGCCGAACGTTGTGACCAGAGCTCTGCCAGGGTATCGGCCCATCCCCCAGCCGTTGTGGAAACCCTTCGGGGAACATTTGGGGAAGGATGGCGGGGAAGATGAGGAGGAGGAGGAGGAGGAGGAGGAGGAGGAGGAGGAGGAGGGGGAGAGAGGGGCATCTTGGGAGACTGGGGTTACTCTTGGCGCCTTCTGGGAGCTTCCTGGGGGCCTTCTGGAGACGTCTTGGGGGACCTCGCCTCCGTGGGCCTCTGGGGGCCTTTGGGGCGTCGTTGGGCCTCGTTGGCCGTCTTAAGGCGTTCCTGGCCCGACGTCGGCCAGAGAGGCATTCCTCCTCCTCCTCCTCCTCCTCCGCCTCGTCCTCCTCCTCCTCCTCCTCCTCCCCCTCCTCCTCCTCCTCCTCCTCCTCCTCCTCCTCCTCCTCCTCCTTGGACCCTCTTGGGCTGTCTAGGAAGCCACGTGGGCGAACTCGGAGGCCATCTCGGCTGTCTTGGAAACGGCTGGGCAACCTTTTTTCGGCGGCTTGATGCCCAGCATTCCAGGTGACTCGGCGCGCTGGGCCGACGCCCCAGAGGTGAGTCCTAGAAGAAACAGCAACATCCTGGACCTCGACACGCCAGGCACCCCTGTGACAAAGGCAGGCCAACAGGAGGCGGCGGATCCAGTGGCCTTCGGCGAATTCCGTAGGGGCCTCTTGGATGCTTGTTGGGATCTCTTGGGGGACGTCTCGGCAGCCTCGTGGAAGCGGTTCTGGGGTAGCCTTGGGGCCTCGCGGGGTCCTCGTGGGGGTCTCTGTGAGCCTGGCTTGGGCCCTCTTGGGAGCACCCTGGAGCCTCTGGGCTGTCTCGGAGGTCGTCTTGGGGCGGAGATCTCGAAATGTCGGTTCGTGCTCCACCTCTGGGGCCTCTCTTAGGCCTCTCTTGAGGCCCTCTTGGGCCGTCTTGGGAGACTCTTGGGCCGTCTTGGGGCACTCTTCGGCTGGGGCCGTCTTGGGGCGATGTTGCGCGCCTCTTAAGCCGTCTTGGAGCGTCGGAATTCCGAAACGGCGAGAACGCTACAATCCTTCACAATCCAAAGGACATTCAATGACTTCGGCCTCTCGGGTCCCTCCCGTGAGGCTTGTTTGAGACATCCTGGGGCGTGTGGAGGATGGCTTGGGCCGTCTGGAGGCCATCTTTGGCGTCTTACAGCGATCTTCGGGCGACTCGGGGCGCTGTTGGACGATCTTGGGGGGCCACTGGGGCCTTCTTGGCCGAATGCGGAACACGCGAGACGCCCGGGGAATCTGGGAATTTGCGGTCCGGGCATGCCAGCATTCCTTCATCCAGGACTGAGGACCGGGAGCTCCGAGTGACATGAGGGCCCTCCAAGTCACCTGCACAGTGCAATAACTCACCGTTTGGGGTCCACGCTGGCTCACATGTTTATGTAGCCGATCTGCCACGGCCGTTTTTTCTGCTCGGCTCATCACAACGAGCCATGAGCCGAGTCCAGTGGCCTCTCGAAGCTTCAACAGCTCAATTCATCCAGATGGCACGCTCGCTTGCAGAGGCCAGTGATTTCAAGCATCTCGGAGTGCTGAGGGTGAGAGAGGGGTCATGCTCAGCAAGGATGTCTGCATGTCCTCTGTCAGCTGCAGGGACGGTAAGATAGATCGCGCGTTGCACGACATGCGCCGCGGTGCGTGCAGAGAGTTGCTTCTCCCTGGCTTCCTCGCGAGGGCTCGAAGATAGTCGCGCGTCACGGTTGCCAGGTTTTGAGCGCGCCAAGTCGGGTGGCCCAGGCTCCATGTTCAGTTGCCCGTGCCGATCTGTCGTCGGAGGGCGGGCAGGCGGAGGCGGAGGAGGCCCCAGGCACGCGAGGATGCCCTGCTCCCGGCCACGCGCAGAGGGCGGCAGGGGGAGGGGGGGCAGGGCCTCCTGGAAGGCGCGGGCCCTGTCTGCAGATGTGAGGCCGGCGCCTTCCAGGAAGCAGCCTCCTTTTAGGAAGCCCTCCTTCCTCCCCCCTGCCTCCCCGTGCGCGCCGCCAACATTCAGTGCCTGCGGAAAGGTGGCGGATCCATGTGTCAACGCTGCTAGGCTTGATTGACGTGTGCGGAGAAGACGTATTTGGCTCCGCTGCGCTGGCCAGTGCAGCAATTCAGCTCCAGGCGGATGTGCAGTTTGTTCAGTCTGTCGCCAACGGGCCGACATTGGTGCCCAGAGCTGTTGCCAGACCGCTTGCGCCAGACCGCTCGCCACCGGTGCGACCACGACACGTCAATTGGGATACAACTCCTGGGGGGTTAAATTCTGTCTCGGTGCTGGTATTTTCGCGGTCGGTCACCGGCTGAATCTGCGTTAATCTTGGTTAATCCTGTTTAATCCCGCTAATCCCGCTTCATCCAGCTCCATCATGGGTTCAATCTGGCTTAATAATATGGCTTAATTTGGTGAGATTGCCCTCGAATCGGGCGAATTCGCCCTTCATCGTTCCAACGAAGGCCTCCCAGGAGATGCTTCTCAAGATCAGAGCTTCCCGGCAGGAGAAGCAATCGCAGGAGGAGGAGAAGAAGTCGCGGCTGTCGATTAGCGCGGCCGCCTCGCCCATGCGGAGGACGCGCGTTGGCGGCTGGGGTTCAGTCGGGCATGTCCCTCTACAGGAGGAAGATTCGAACATCGTAGAAAAATAGTCAGGGGACGTTTCTTCTACCATGTTTGACAATTTAGGTGTATTCTTCTGCATGCTTCTCATTTTTCTATTGAAATCCACCTGTCGGAGGACATGCCCGACCTGGGGCTGGGGCCGGGGGGCACCTCGTCGCCGTCGCCGTCGCCCTTGCGCCCCAGGGTTGGGGCCCGCCCTTTCCGTCCCTTCCGCTGGCTGTTGCTGCTGCTGCTGCTGCTCCTCCAGGAGGAGGAGGAGGAGGAGGCGGAGGAGGAGGAGAAGGGGGAGGAGGAGGAGGAGGAGGAGGAGGAGGAGGAGGAGGAGGAGGAGGAGGAGCATCGGCAGTAATATTTGCATTCGCATGGTGGAGATTGAGACTCAGGAGTGAGACCAGGAGGAGGAGGATGAGCATCAACAGTGTTTTATAATACGAGCTGTCGGGAGATGGGAGCGATGCAGTGGGGGCCCATGTCCAGAAGCACCTTGCTTGCCTCCACGGTGCCCTGGGTGTCTTGGGTTTCGACGGTTTTGCGATGGGAAGCGCGACGCTCGCACACCAAAACTCAGTGGACGCCCTGGGGTCTCAGGGTTGGGTTTCTTTTGGAAGGTTTCTTGTGGACTGGCCTCCGCTGTAATAAGAACTGTGGGGAGATGTGAGCGATATTCCAGAAAGTGGGGATGCAACGTCTAGTGCTTCTGCCGCCAGGACCTCAGGTGCCTTCTGCTTCGCTGCTGACGACGAGCGCGAGAGCATGCGGAACGATGTCAAAAGGGAGATTGACAGGGAGATGAACGAGAGGATCGCCGCCCTCGAGCGGGAGTTCGCCCTCAAGCAGCAGGAGGTGCATTCGCAGGGGCTTTGGGAACTCCACCTCCTCCTGCCCCGTCCTTTCCTGTTGGTTCGGTTCACTTCTGTGCGTAATGCCTGCGGTTCCTTCGCCCTTCCCCTTGGAGGGGCTTCGCTTCCCCCGATCCCCCTTCCGCTTGACAACTGTCACCCTCCAGCTCACACCTCGTCGACTCCGGCTCCGATCCCCATGGTTCCGCCCAACGATCGGTTGGTTGGTCTCATGCGCAGATTTTTTGTGCCTGTCGTCGTCGTTGCCGTCGTCTTCTCGTCGTCGTCGCCGTCGCCGTCGCCGTCGTCTTCGTTTTGTGGCCGCTGTAAGATTTCACCTTCTGATTGCGCTGATCCGCGTTTTCAGGGCGCTTCGGCCACACGTACGATGCATGATGCAGTCCGTGTCTCCGCGCCTCCGTGCCCCGAAGACAAAGAGAGGCATAAGCGCATGTTAGTTTGCCGGAGGTCTGCGCGGGTTTCTCGGCGTAAGCCCACCCTCCTCACCTCTTGCGCACCGACCAAGGGGTGTGGGGAGGCGCCGCCATGGGGGCCCCGCTCCGACCCAAGACATCCGCGCGGACCTCAAAAAGTTCAAGTTCAGGCCTTCGTTAGCTTCTCAAGAAGTGCCTCCTCCCTCCTCGTCGACTCCTTCCGCGGCAGGGACTCGGCATCCTGGGCATTCTGTTGGCTAGCCCCGGGGTCCAGATGCCGAACGATGGCCCCGAACTTTCGCGCGTGCCTTTTCATGGCGCGAGGGGAGCTCGGGCCCCCCTCTCCACTCTCTCGGCCGAGGGCACGCCGCAGCGTTGCGGCCCGCCGCGGGGCCGCCGCGCCGCTCGCCTTGCGCGCGTGGGAGGCGCAGGGGGCACTCCATGGCCGAGTGCGGGCGCCGGGGCGCCCGCTCGGCCGACGCGCCGTGGCGCCGGGCCCGCTCGCGCCGCGGCGCCGTGTCTCGCGGCGCCCGCGGCCCGTTGCGCCGCGCGGCGCGCGCCCTGCGGCTCCCGCCGCGGCCCGCGCCCTGCGCCTGGCATCGCTTGGACGTGTGCATGTTTTCTTCGGCGAGGACCATCGAGGAGCATCCTTGATCATTTGGCGAAAAAGCCACGCACGAAACTGCAAAAAACACAGGGAATGGACGTCCGAGCGACGGCAAGTGCGCCCGGAGGCGCTGAAGGAGATGAGCGCGCTGCGGCAGCGCAACGAGGTGCTGGAGCAGCGGATCGAGGAGGAGAAGGAGCACGGCTCGGAGGCCGCCGCGCGCCCTCTCCTGCTCCCGGGGGGGCGGCCTCGCAGAGGGCGGGGGAGGGACGGCAGGGCTGGCGAGGAGGGACGGCGATGGGGGAGGAGGGGGAGGAGGGGGAGGGAGGGGAGGGGGGGAGGGAGGAGGAGGAGGAGGAGGAGGAGGAGGAGGAGGAGGAGGAGGAGGAGGAGGAGGAGGAGGAGGAGGAGGAGGAGGAGGAGGAGGAGGAGGAGGAGGAGGAGGAGGAGGAGGAGGAGGGAGGCAGGAGGGAGGAGGAGGAGGAGGGAGGAGGAGGGAGGAGGGAGGAGGGAGGAGGGAGGAGGGAGGAGGGAGGAGGAGGAGGGAGGAGGGGAGGGGAGGGAGGAGGGAGGAGGAGGAGGAGGAGGAGGAGGAGGAGAGGAGGAGGGAGGAGGAGGAGGTAGGAGGAGGAGGAGGAGGAGGAGGAGGAGGAGGAGGAGGACGGAGGAGGAGGAGGAGGAGGAGGAGGAGGAGGAGGAGGAGGAGGAGGAGAAGAAGAAGACGACAAATAATAATAACAATAATAATAATAAACAGAAACAGACGACTAGTACTAATAATAATACTAATAAGAATAATAAGAATACGAATAATAATAATACGAAGCATACTACGAATAATACTAATAATAAGCAGAATGCTCAGAATAAAAATAATAATACGAACACTAATATGAACAATAAGAATAATAAGACTAAGAGGAGGAGGAGGAGGAGGAGGAGGAGGAGGAGGAGGAGGAGGAGGAGGAGGAGGAGGAGGAGGAGGGAGGGGAGGGGGAGGGGAGGGGAGGAGGAGGAAGAAAGGGGTGGAGGAGGAGGAGGAGGAGGAGGAGAAAAGGAGGAGAAGAAAGAGGAGACGGAGGAGGAGGAGGAGGAGGAGGAGGAGGAGGAGGAGGAGGAGGAGGAGGAGCCAAGCGGCTCCAGGGCAGGAGGGGGAGGTCATCGCGGTAAGCTCGCGCCGCGACGATATCGCGACGACCCCAGCGCGGGCCTTCAACGCGGAATGCCGCCAGTGGCCCAGAATCGGCCGACATCGAAGGGTCTACGTTATCGGACGGTCGCGATCGCTCAAGTTCCAACGAGCCACGCGGTCGAGCACGCGGTGGTTGCCCTCGTGTGCACCCGTGCTCGAGGGCATGAGCTCGAGAACCACAAACCACGGCATAGGCATGAAATGTCAGAGGTCCGCGCGGATTTCCTTTGGTCGTCGCTGGACCCCCCCCCTTATACCTTCTGCGCGCGGGGGGAGGTGTGCGGGGAAGGGGGTTCAGCGCCGACCCAAGATCTCTGCACGGACCACTAGTGTTGTGTTCTCTTCTTCTAGGCGGGAGTGGGAGGTGCAAGGGGGGATTGCAGGATATCAAGGTACCTGAGGAACGTGGAAGGGCACACCAGCATGCACACGAGAGCAACTCGGCGGCGCGCATAGAAGGGTATGGGGAGGGGGGGAAGAGGGAGGCTGCTTCCTAGAAGCCGCGGGCTTTACATCTACAGACAAGGCCCGCGCTCCTAAGAAGCAGCCCTCCTAAGAGACCTTCCCCCCTTCCCCTACCCCTGAGTCGAGCATGCCCCTCCACAGGAGGAGTCTTCAAAACCTAGTCCCAACATTCGGGGGCGGATAGAGCTCCTACCCTGACACGTCGATTAGCGAATTGGCCGTTTTCGGTTCGCGAGAGGGCGTCGCGGCCGTCATTTTTGCGGGTCCAGGTCCATCGGTTTCGGTCCCAGGTTGTTTTCACTAAAGGGTGGTGTACTAAAGGGAGGTTTGTCCACCGCCGAAACATGGCCTGGGGACGATGCCCCGATTCTCGTCGCCTCTGCTTGGCAACGCGGTGCTGGCCGTCTTTTATAGCTCCCCTCCGACACCCGCCTGCAGGAGGGAGGGCCCTGCCCCACCGGACCTCACGTCGGGCGTGTCCCCCTTACAGGGGTATCTTGTGGGCGAAAAAAAAACAAAACATACTCCAAACATACCCTCCGAGTGCTCAAAAATAATCTAAACATCGTCCCCAGACTGTTTTTCTATTATTTCTGAGTATCAAATACTCAACATGCCCCCCGAGTGCTCAAAAATAGTCAAACAGATCGTCCCCAGGCTATTCTTCTATACTATTTTCGAATGCTCCCTCCTGTAGAGGGACACGCCCGACTTAAACCTGGCCCCTGCCCCCTTCTGCGCGCCGTCGAGCAGCGTCGCCGGGGACCGGCAGGGCCCGTGGCGGCCCGAGCAGCCGGCGGCGGAGGAGCCCCACGGCCGCGCGGCGGGACGCCGCGGGTCGCGTCCGCGGGGGCCTCGGGCCGTGCGTTGTGCGGCGCCCGCGGCTGCTGCGGCACCGGCGGGCGCGGCGGAGCTGCGCTGCCGAGAACTCTCAGGAGGGAAAGACACACACACAGACACAATGAATCGCCGATTCCTCTGAAAACATGGGAAGATATGGGAAGTGGGGGGAAGAAGACAGAGCCCCAGAACAGATGGGAAAATATGGAGTGTCTTTTTTCTTGCTTGTGTGTGTTTCTTTGTGCGTCCTGGGGCCCCTTCAAACTTGGCGGCAGTGGGCAAGCTGGGCAGAGAGTGGTCGCAGGAGGGAGCACGCGGGAGGGGCGGGGTGCACCCGCGGCGCACGCCTTGAAGGGGCCCAGGGGGGGTCCAGGGCGGGCCCGCGACGGACTCAGAGGACGGATCCAGCCGTGCCCCACGTCAGGGGTGCACGTGGCAAGACGGGGAGGCGGTCCATGATTCGGCGGCGAGCCTGGGGGAAGCGAGAATCGGGTCGGACGAAAGGGGGGGATTGGGAAAGGGGGGGTTACGAAATTTGCTGCATGCAGCTGGTTTCGGCCTCACCGAGGGGCCCATTCCTCGATACATGGCCGCCTCCGGCGCCGGGAGGCGCTGGGAAAATCAGCTACGTGAGCTGATTCTCAAACCCCCCCTTTGCTATCCCCCCCTTTTCGCCCGACCCGAGAGAAGGGGCGGGCCTCATCAAAAGGCTCGGAAGTCCCCCCGGCCTTCTGAGAAGTGTTCTGAGCCTTTTCCCTAAGACGCAGAACATGTCTCCAATGTCTCGAGGGCTTCTGAGAAGACCCGCCACCTTCTGAGAAGGCCGTCTCCTTCTCACTTCCCCCTCTCCCTCGCCACCGAATTGTGATACTTACCTTTCTGGCGGCTCTGCTGAGGGCCAGGAAGATATGGATGTCGGGTAATATGTGAATTCCGACGTTGCTGTTTCCTGGGCCTCTCTTGAGGCGCGTTTTGACCCGGATCGCGAGACGAATCCATTGTGGCGAGATGGAGAAGAGGGTAGGGTACAGGTATTTTTACATGTATTTTTGTTTTCCTATGATGGTTGGGAGAGGGGACAGAGAAGGCGGGTGTCCTGGCCTTCCCTCCGCCTCCTCTTCCCCGCAGCCCCCGTGGAGGAGAGGAGCAGGCGCGCGGCGTGCACGCCCATTCCAGGCCAGGGAGGTCCGTGCTGCGCCACACGCTGACAGCACCACGTGCAGTGATTCTGGCTGGGTCTGTCTCGTCGAGCCGATGCCTGGACGGCCGGGAAGCACCACCCCCTCTCCCTGCCCCTCTCCCTCCTCCCCCACCCATGAGTGCAACTTTTCTTGATGACCCTCTGTAGCGCCATGACAGTCGGTTATTCAAGACCTCCAACGCGAGGAAAGAAGAGGTGGTGGCGTTCCCGCGGGGGAAAAAAAACCTCCCCCACCCATGTTCCCCACCCCCCCACGTCCCCTCTCTACAATTGCACCATCTGAATGCTGCTCTCCTCTCTCCCGCGAAGGCCCAGAGGTCGTAGCCTGCCCCCCCCCCGCGCATGATTCTTTACACATGGGATCCCCCCAAAGGTGGTCGATCGTATGTGTTGTTCCAGTCCGAACTTCTTCGGTGGCTCCAGAATGGCGCTCCCGCTACAGCGTTGGCTCCATTCTCTGGCTCCCAGTCCTTCCATCCCGCTGCAGCCCCGACTTAAGTTCTTAGTTGCGGATCTTCCAAATCGTGTTCTCGCTACAGCGTTAGCTCTCATGTTGCGCTTCCGCTCTTCCCGAGCCTTTATTTTACATGTTTCGTCTTGCGTCATGGCTGATTTCCGTGAGAACCTGTTCTCTAAATGAGTCGCGTTCTCGACCAACGTTGGTTCTCATTTTACGCTTCCGGTGTCTCCGCACCGTCCACTTACATGTCTTACCCTGCGTTATGTCTGGTTTCCCTGAGAACCTGATGTCGAACAGCAGTCGTGTTCTCGACCCGACGACGCTCTGCCGTGCTCCGTTACGCCGTGCTACGCCGTGCACCGCACCCTCTCAGGACCATTGTCCTGCCCGACATCCGACTGTGCGAATACTTCACGAGATCTACGCCATGGTAGGGTATGGGAGGGAGGAGTAGGACGTCAGATGAGACGCTTGCGCACCTAGCTTGCTCTCGCTCCCCCTCCCCCTGGCCCGCTCGCCCCCCCCCCTCTGACCCGTTCCCTCGCCCGCCTCCCCTCCAGATCTACCCTTTCGCTTCCGCTCTGCCTCCCCTCCCCCTTCCCCCTCCTGCCCCCTCGCTATTCCCTCTCCCTCTCCTGGGCCTCCAGTCGGCTTTCTGGGCGCATCGAGAGGTCGCCAAGAGGCTCTCTCTCTTGAAAGCCCCACACGGATCAGAGCTCGGGTTCAGATTCGACCCTCGAGCCTCGAGTCGGCGAGCGACGTTCGACCCGTGCCCCGACTGCTCCCCCCAGCTTCGGGCACGCGCCAGGGGGGGGGGGGCAGCGCGTGGATGAGAAGCGCGGCCTCGCGCGACCTGCTGCTTGCCCATGCCCCAGCTCCGGCCCCGCATGTGCCTGGGGCGTGAGTGGGGCCACTGACAAAACGGCCCCCCCCCCTGCACGCAAGGGTGGCTAGGGGCTCCGGCCCTTCGTGAGCCCTTCGATCGCCCATGGAGCCTCGATCCTCCCCTCCCTCCTCCTTCTGCAGGCCGGTGACGACGGTGGCGGCGGGACGAAGGCGCCGGCGACGACGACAGTGACGGCGTCGACGGCGGCTCATGGGCAGCATTCGGGGGGGGTATCCAGGCCTCCTTGATGGGGCCCGAGTAGACGGGGTCGGAGGATCGTGCCGCATCGTCGATGCATCGGCGATACATCGGCGATGCGGCTCGATGTTGGGCCCAATTTTCTCCACGCCGACGTCGCTGATGCATCGCCGACGCCGCCAGTGCATCGCCGATGCATCGGCGATGCGGCGAGATCCTCGGACCCCATCTACTCGGATCCCAATCTAGGAGGCCTCTGGGGTAGGCCAGGCTAGGCTTATGTCGGGCCTGTCCCCCGACAGGGGGAATTTCGACGAAAAATGAAAAATGCCTCAAAAATAATTAAAAAATAGTCCAACCATAATCTGGGGACAATTTGTTGACTATGTTTCGACCTTTTGGGGAGCATGTTTTGAGTATTTGTTTACCTTTCGTCGAAAATCCCCCTGTAGGGGGACACGCCCGACATACGGCTAGGCTCAGAGGGGGGGACGCATCGACCCCCAGTCGCCCACCGACCGCCGAGATGGGGCCCGACAGCTCGCCCGCCCGGGCGCGGACGGCTTCGCCATCGGGGGCCTCTCGTCGTTGTCGTTGATCCGATCCCCGTCCCCGTCTCCATCCCCTTCCAGACCCCCACCAAATTGCCACCCCAGTTGGGGACGCATCCCTCGAAACCCGAGGAGAACGACCTGTATCCCCATCTAAGGGGGGTGAAACCGGCCAGCGGGGCCCAGGCCACGCCGCTGGGGGTGGGGATCGGTTCAACGATGCTCATCTCGCCGATTTCTCGGCGACGCATCGCCGAGTCCAGCTCGATGCTCCCCGCCTTGGTTTTCGTGTCGTAGCTCGGCGAGGCGCGGCTACTGGAGAGCCTCCCGAGGACAGGAAGCGAAAGCCGCCGAGAACCGACGAAAAGGCAGAGGAGCAAGGGGTCGTGGTCATGATTCGTTCCAGGATTTCCAGGATTTCCACTGATGTTCCACACGGACTGCAGAACTGAGGGCCGCTTGATATTCTGAAAATTTTGGAACGTATCCTGAGCCAGTCTTACCGCGGCGGCGAGCACGGGGGGGAGTGAGAAGGAGAAGGCCTTCTCAGAAGGCTCGGAAGCCCCCTGGCCTCCTGAGAAGCTCTCTAAGCCTTCCCGGAAGACAGACAGGACCTCGCAGAAGGCACCAGGGCTTCTGAGAAGGAAGTCCCGCCGCCTTCTGAGAGGGCCATCTCCTTCTCACTTCCCCCCCTCGCTCGCCGCCGAGAAATGTAGGAAAACCTCGAGCCCCGAAACCGAAACGTCCCCTCGCGAGCCCTTCGGCGGCGCGCGCGCGCCGAAGACTGCCGCGGAGGGCGGCTCCGCGGGGCGCTAACCCTCCGGCAGGGCCGCGGCGACGACGACTACGGCTCCCCGGCGGTGGACCGCGCGCAGGCCCTCGGAAAGCGCGCAAAATGGAGGGGTCGATAATTGGGGTGGGGGGGACTACTACTACAACTACGACGGCGACTACTACTACTACT